CAAGTGTTTCGAAACAGCAAGATAAATTTATCAAAATTTTCTCGATTTAACACAAGAATAAAACCAAATATATTTTTCGTAATCAAATTTTAATTTTAATATTCGAATAACCGAAATTTAATTTTTCATAGCAGCAAAACCCTTCAAAAATTAGAATACACTCCCAACAAATTAAAACACAGCGAGTTAACAAAATTTAATGTTAGGCTGCCCCACGTTGGGCGCCATTGTGAGAGAATAAAAAATAATAATTTTACAATGGCACATAGTGGTAATTACACAGATATTCAACAATAAAACTATTCAAAATTGAAAATCTCAAAATCAATAAAACCTGTAAAATTCTTATTTTATTGCAATCCCTTCGCTGTTCAAGGATACATGCAACTCACCTTCGGAATTGTATTTGAACCATTTAACATAAGGAGGTTGGGCGCCAGGCTCACCTATGAGCCAACGTCACCACCAAAAATAACCAAACAATTTGTCTTGAGGAAACTAGACCACCAGGTTAATTCCTCAGAGACTACTCGTCACCAAAAAAACTCAAAATATCCGAATCAATCAAACAAAATCTCAAAATAAATCTTTAATCAAACGAATGAGGTTCAAATACAATTTACCGGCACGTCACAAATTTGTTCTAGCTAACTCAGCACAAAATAAGGGAAAGCATTGGGCGTAGGGTTTTGTTGGGGTGTAAATTAGTCACAAAAAAAATCAAATCATAATCAATAATTATTAACAAAATTGTATTCCAAATCAATCTTCGGCTATTTACAAAAAAGGGGGCTTTGACCATGATATTATTCCAAAATATTCGAAATAAGAACGCGAAGTTCACAAAATAATCATCTCTACTAAACTAAGATATTTCGCAAAATATCGGCAATATTCCACACAAAAAATCATAACGTTAATGATTACAAAAAAAAAATTATGATAATCTACTTTTTGTTTTACAAGGGAAAATCATCACTAACGAAAATTAATTTCTACTCAAGAAAAACGCGACATTTTGAAAATTTATCATGTAAAGAAAAGGGTCGCTACACGAGGTATCACGAAGTCTCTCAAACTCAAGGATATACATTTTTACACACAATAATCAAAATAATAATTCGAAATGAGCACCATTGTTATTTGTTAAAGATCAAGTCTAGTCATTTTAGACTGTTTTAAAACCGCAAAAGAACTTAAGAAACCACGAGGTCAAAAGTGGCGTCATTCCGAAAGGAAAAGTGAAAAATCCACATTCCCTATGCAAAAAAAATACTTTACTCGACAAAATAGATAATAAACGAGAATGTGAATTTTTAGACAATTGAGTATCGACTCACCAAACAAATGTAAATCGGCTACGGCTCTTAAAAGACCCACAAACGACGAAGTTCCTCGTGTTGGACACCTGTTCCTTCACAAACGCAACGAATGGCAATCAAATTTTCACAAAATCTAATCTCAGAGAGTGCTCTCGCGAGTGTGTGGAGCACGTTTTTCGTAGATTCGCCGGTAGCGTCTAATGACGAGCCCAACCAAACCTACGGTGCTCGCGCGCGCTAATAGTTCGCGACAGAGAAGTGGCGGCAAATCATTTCAAATTCAAAATGATATAATTCGACAAAACGCAAATTAATTATTTTTATCATTCAAACATCCATTCCATATAATAATAGTAATAACCGTAGAATGTAAATGCAATATAACTAATATTCGGCAATATAGTAATTAACATAACAAGTTATTTAAATTTGAAATTTATAAATTCGAAGTATCGACCACAACGATAACTAAATAGCTAATCTAATATTTAATTGACCAATTAATCGACGAACTAAATTAAGCAAATATAATTAATTACAAAAGCAATAAAAATTACCGCAATTAAACAAATGTAGAAACTATTCTAATTCGAATCAAAATTACGCAAATAAACGCACTAACTTTAATTAACAAGGCTACTAAATTTTTATACTAATAAAAATTACCAAACCACAAAATTAGCTAAACTTAATACTCCAAAACATTAACAAAATTAACAAAATTAAAATCGCCGAAATTAACCAAATTTAGCAAAATAACCAAAATTAGCAAAATTAAGCAAAACTACAAAACAACTAAATTTAGTAAAATAAAGAAATGCAATAACATTAATAATAATAAGCGAGAGCTATTTTTCAAAGTTGGGGTCAGGAACTCTTCTCCAGGTGGAACAATAGTGAGTTGGAGTTGTTGTCGTCCACAGCCATAACCAATTTTTATCGAAGCTTTCGATGAATAGGATGTCGACGAGGCCTCTGTCGACAATCCCGTTGGCGCACCCAACATTAACTGGTAACAGCATATGGAAGTGGCTTATCCATGTGAGTGTGGAGTGCGTGTCAAAATTCCAAAATTGGATTTGGTCCGAAACCAAACCACTTGATGTGTTAAAAAAAAAACAACAGGCGAAAACAGCCAAATATTAAAATCCTCTCCAATGTCCAAAATAAGGCAAATGCAGTCGAAATACGGCCTTTACAGGCCAAGATTCAGCACCAAATAGACAACAATAAAAACAGGGTCGTCACGTCCCCAAAATAAAATGCGAGATCGAACTGCCAGCAAAGCACCAAACAGCCAAAGTGCGGCAGCAAATCGCCAAAATGCGACATCGAACAGCCATTGTCTCGAGAGTAAGTGTGCGGCGTCAAACAGCCAGCAGGGCATCGTACAGCCAGTGTGATGTATGGTTAGACCAGAAACTCCTCCAAGACTACTATCGTTCCTTAGTTGTGGTGATGTAGAATGATGTCCAAAAATAGCTCACAGCGAACATAAAAAAAAATAAAGCAGTAAACAAAAAAAATAATAATAAGCGCAAAATCATTGTGGTCGATCGTAGAGCAGAGGTTAATGCAGAAAAGTGTCCAACAGGAGAAGATCATTTTCTCCTAAATTTAATTTCTCTAATTATTAACTCGGGTGTAACGTGTAAAAAGTATTCACCTTACATCGCATATAGAAGAACATTTTGCTGGTGCGATGAACATTTCATGTGAGCATTGTAATGCTAAACATTTTCAAGGAGAAAGAGTATCTAATAAAAAAAATTCATTTCATGATTGTTGTAAACATGGCGAAGTCATTCTTGAAGATCTACCTGCTCCTCCACTCATATTACAAAATTTATTTGATGGCACCCACGAATTATCTGGGCATTTTCTTCATAATATACGACCTTACAATAATTCATTTGGTTTTGCTTCTTTCAACACTAACTTAGTTAATTTTAACAATAGACGACCAGGACCATATTGTTTCAAAATACATGGTCAGGTTTATTATCAAATGAATACATCTTTGTATGCAGAAAGGAACGATACTCCTTCATTTAGACAATTATTTATTGTTGATCAAAACGAAGCTTCCGAAATTTGTTGTAAGAATAATGTTCAATTAAACCGAGATATTGTTGATAGAATTGAAACAGCCCTTCGGGACTGTAACCTTTTTGCACAGTCCTACCGTATGATGCATGAAGAAATTAAAAAAACAATGACTGAAAATAATGCAGAAATTTAGCCTGAGATGCAATTATTATTTTCATTAAAGCCTGGGATGGATAGTTTAGACGTTATAATTTACAAAGTGTCAATGAAGTTGCAGCAATTTTTACTACAACTGCTGATGGTGATATTCCAGAATCATATGTTACCGTATATAATAAGAATACAAAAAGTTTACAATATATAAATTCTATGAATCCCAATGTTGAGCCATGGATATATCCTTTATTTTATCCACATGGAACAAGAGGTTAGGGCAAAAATCTGACCTGCGCGAATACAAATAAACGTGTATCAAGAGCTGCATACATCAGGCATAGAATGGCTTCTAGGGACAACAATGTATTTTTAAAGGGTGGTAGATTATTTCAGCAATGGATTGTCGACAGTTATGTGAAAATTGAAAAAGATAGGACAAATTTCTGTCGAAATAATCAAAAGAAACTTCGTGCAGATACTTACGAAGGTCTAATTGATCATTTACAAAGAAGAGCTGATGATTCGAACAATGAAGTTGGGAAAATTGTAATACTTCCATCATCTTTCACAGGTTCTCCGAGAAATATGTTATAGCAGTACCAAGATGCAATGGCTATTGTGAGAAAATTTGGTAAACCTGATCTTTTTATTACGATGACGTGTAATCCAAACTGGCGTGAAATTAAGGAAAATTTATTACCTAACCAAACTGCCTCTGATAGACCAGATATTGTATCGCGTGTTTTTACCATAAAAAAAGATAAACTTATTAATACTATTGTAAAGGAACAATTATTTGGCGAAGTGATTGCTTATGTGTATGTCATTGAATATCAAAAACGTGGATTGTCGCATATGCATTTATTAGTGACTTTGAAACAAAAGTATAAAATAACAACACCCGAGATTGTAGACAAATATATTTTGGCAGAAATTCCAAGTCAATCAGAAAATGTTATACTTCATGACATCGTTATGAAAAATATGATTCATGGCCCATGTGGAAATTGGTGTAAAGATAATAATAGTAAATGTTTGAAAGGTTTCCTAAAACAATTCTGTTCTGAGACAATAATGGATGAAAACGGATACCCAACGTATCGCTGCCTTAATACAGGACAATACGATCGCCTAAATGGAGGAACTACAGATAATCAATACGTTGTTCCATACAATCCTACATTACTTCAGTTATTTAATTGTCATATTAATGTAGAAGTAGTTTCAAGTATTAAATCCGTAAAATATTTGTATAAATATATTTTTAAGGGACATGATGCTGCTGCTGTAGTAATTACCGATAGTAGTAATAATACAAGTTCTTTAGAATATTTCGATTTAAATAGGCGTGATCCACAAGCTAGACAATATACATATGCAGAAATTCCGTGTTATTATGTTTTTAAGAAAGAACGTTGTGAAAATGCATTAAAATGGGTGAAGCGTTAAGGGTCATTTAATGTCATTGGACGGATGTATTCAATTTCGCCCAGTCAATCAGAACTGTTTCATCTTAGATTACTTTTAATAGTAGTTAAAGGCGCTACAAGTTATGATCATCTGCGAACTGTCAACAATATTGTACATGACATTTTTCGTAGTGCATGTTTAGCATTAGGCCTTATTGAAGATGATGGAGAATGGGAACGTGCTTTGACAGAAGGAGAAGTATCGATGATGCCACAACAATTAAGACGTTTATTTGTGCGTATTTTAATTTATTGCCATCCAGTTCATCCAAACGAACTTTGGGAAAAGTTTAAAGAGGCTATGTCTGAAGATTATCAGAAAAATTATCCATCTAATGAAGCTCATAAAAGAGCATATAATGATATAATTAACTTTCTGTTGCATGAAGGATCAAATATTCGCAATTTTCCTGAAATGATACAGTTAAATGAAATAAGTATTAAAATAGAAAATCAAGCGAACAACGAAATGTCATTGCAACAACATAAAGAGATTGGTGAAATGCAATATGTGAAACTGAATTCCAAACAGAAGGATATTGTTGATGAAGTATTAAATGTAGTTATTCAAGATAAAAGAATACCATCTTCTTCATGTTATTACATTGATGGACCAGGTGGATCCGGAAAAACTTTTGTTTATACAACTTTATACCATTTGTTAAGAAGTAAAGAAAAATGTGTTTGTACTATGGCATTTACAGGCATTGCCGCAATATTACTTCCCCGTGGTAAAACTGTACATAAAACATTTGGGATGCCTGTTCCATTGTTCTATGATTCTACATCAAATATTAAAAGTCAATCTAAGGAAGCTACATTTTTGAAAGAGGTTGATGTCTTTATTTGGGATGAAGCTCCAATGGCGCCAAGATATGCTATGGAATTAATTGATAGAACATTACGCGATTTTATGAATGTTGATATGCCATTTGGTGGAAAAACTATGCTTTTGGGTGGTGATTTTAGACAATTATTGCCTGTTAAAGTTAATGCTACTAGAAGCGAATTAGTTAATTTATCTATTAAATCTAGCACATTATGGAGTCATTTTAAGGTGATATCATTAACAGAAAATATGAGAACTTTACCTGGTGAAAAAGAATTTTCAGAATATTTATTATCAGTTGGAAATGGTACTTTAAATGATAATGATAATAATATACTAGCACCAGAGCAATGTGTAGAAAATGGTGATATCATTCATAAAATATTTGGAGAATTAATTATCAATAATAAATACGATGATTTAGCAAAAGTAGCAATATTGTCTGCTCGAAATGTTGATGTTGATGAAATTAACAACAAGGTACTCGAACTGTTTGATAATAAAAGTGAGCGAATTTATACAAGTGTTGATAGTACCGATAATTGTGATAATGGAAGTATAAATGATGCTATTTTACCAGAGTATTTGAATACTTTAAATCCATCAAATTTCCCGCCTTATGAATTAGGATTAAGAGCCAATTGTATTGTCATGCTACTTCGAAATCTTAGTATTAATGAAGGTTTATGTAATGGAACGCGAATGCAGGTATTAGAACTATCAAACAATCTGCTACGTTGTCGTATTTTAACAGGTGATAATCTTGGGAATCATTAATTATATATTTAGGAAATCAAAGACCTAATTTACTAATCAAGAATTATGTTTACACTGAATTATTGAAATAAAAGTAAATATTTTTTCTATAAAAATGTCTGAGTCGTTATATATTTTTTTTCTTAAAAAAGGAGTGTGTCTCAGTATGGCTGTCTTTACGCGTAAGACTTTCTTCGAGGCTTCTTATTGGTAAATTACGTCATTTTTTTGTAATAAGATTCACACGTTTCTTTCTTATCAATTGGTCAAAGACGTTTTAATTTCCTAATTTCAAATAATAGTTTAAACTTCAGATAATTACCCTCGAAGGCTAAAGTCTTACGACAGTTCCGAGGGAGGGTAAAGGGCTCCAGAAGAAGGGTTTTAGAAAAAAGTTTAAAGATAATATTTCTCAAGATTATTAACGAAATTTTGCATCCCATGAATCTTATAGAAAAGCATATATTGAAATAAATTATTTTCTTCGAAATGACGGAGTACTTACATTTTTTGTATAATATTTACAGAAACCACACTTATATTTCTTTTTTATAGCAAAAGTAGGAACGATTTTAAGAAACAAAAGTAAATTTTTAATTTAATATCCTCTGTTTATGGCTTTCTTTGACAGTAGAGATGTTTTTTTGCTAGCTAAGTGAAAAATAGTTAAAAATTGTTTATTTAGTAACGTTTTTCTTTCATCACTATTTTTTAAAATATAAATTTACTACGGAAGATTTTAAATGTTACAAAATTTAATTAACAAATAGATTACTTTGATTATAAAAAGGTTTTCTATAACTTCATCGTACAAAACTTTTTATAAAATGTGCCATTCTTGAAATATACGCTTTTCTTTAAGCAAAGAAAAGTGTTGTTTTTTTTATCAAAACCATAAACTTTAGAAATGATACATTTAGAAACAGATAAAAACAGAACTAGAATTGTAAAGGTATAAAAAATTGTTTTACGCACAACATAGGCTATTGTTTTATTAAATTGAATAATATTTAAAAATTCCTATTATCAGAAACAGTCACTCAAATTGATACCTTAACAAACAAAAGACTGTAATTTAAAGAATAAAAATGCAAGAGAAAAAACGCGCGCGCGGCAGCGCGCGATCGTTCTCGTACTCTTAAAAGCTTAAAATATCGCGTCCATGGACCCTCAGCTACAAAACCCTGAAGCGACCAATTTTTTTTTCAAAATGGCGGACGCTAATATGGCGGCTAAAACTAAAAAAGTGGCTCGCAAATGAAACATAGTGCTCCAACTTTTTCAAGTGACTGAAACACGTTACGCGGGGGTTCTTGGGGTCGCTGTTTATGAATATAATGCTAGTTTTCAAAAATTGAAAATGTCAGATCTAATATGACGGACAGGTTTTGTAAAAAATTATTGGATTCACTTGAAACTCGCTACTCGGGAGTTTTTAGGGTCGCTGATTACGAATATAGTGCTAGTTTTCAATACTTTAAAATTGCGGATCCAATATGCCCTGCGTGGAAATAGTCAACTCTGGGATCACCCTTGCGGAATATGTACTATAACACAGATAAACCTTGGGAAAAGTTGTAACTAACCCAATAAGAAATCCTAGCAAAACCATGGCTTATGAACGAATACAAGAGAGATGCTAGGGCTGGCAGAACCATAGGTCTTTAAATACAACAGTTTGCCAATATGTAATTTATTAATTTAAGACAAAACTGGCACTACCTTGGCAAAAGCATTTTTATATTTTGAATGACATAAAACTGGGAAAAGCCAGTATCAACTTTTCACCAACCCAAAACTGGAAATACCGCCGCAAAAGCATTTTTATATTTTGAATGACATTTTAAAAACTGGGTAAAGCCAGTATCAACTTTTCACCAACCCAAAACTGGAAATACCGCCGCAAAAGCATTTTTATATTTTAAGTTACCTGTTAAAAACTGGGTAAAGCCAGTATCAACTTCTCACAAACCCAAAACTGGAAATACCGCCGCAAAAGCATTTTTATATTTTGAGTGACCTGTTAAAAACTGGGTAAAGCCAGTATCAACTTCTCACAAACCCAAAACTGGAAATACCGCCGCAAAAGCATTTTTATATTTTGAGTGACCTGTTAAAAACTGGGTAAAGCCAGTATCAACTTCTCACAAACCCAAAACTGGAAATACCGCCGCAAAAGCATTTTTATATTTTGAATGACCTGTTAAAAACTGGGTAAAGCCAGTATCAACTTCTCACAAATCCAAATCTGGAAATACCGTCGCAAAAGCATTTTTATATTTTGAATGACATTTTAAAAACTGGGTAAAGCCAGTATCAACTTTTCACAAACCCAAAACTGGAAATACCGCCGCAAAAGCAGTTTTATATTTTGAGTGACCTGTTAAAAACTGAGTAAAGCCAGTATCAACTTCTCACAAACCTAAAACTGGAAATACCGCCGCAAAAGCATTTTTATATTTTGAATGACATTTTAAAAACTAGGTAAAGCCAGTATCAACTTTTCACCAACCCAAAACTGGAAATACCGCCGCAAAAGCATTTTTATATTTTGAGTGATATTTTAAAAACTGGGTAAAGCCAGTATCAACTTCTCACAAACCCAAAACTGGAAATACCGCCGCAAAAGCATTTTTATATTTTGAGTAACCTGTTATAAACTGGGTAAAGCCAGTATCAACTTCTCACAAACCCATAACTGGAAATACCGCCGCAAAAGCATTTTTATATTTTTAATGACCTGTTAAAAACTTGGAAATGACTGGCTCAAAGTTAGACGACTCATAAAAGTATAATTAATGCTACGAAAGCTATTTTTTCATTTATACCAACTTTTTTAAAACAGCAGGGATCAATGCTTGAGAAAAAGTAAGTTTTTATTGTGAATTATAAGTCATATTAAATAATTATTATAATTATGTTTTTATTATTTTATTTTGGTAATTGGTAAATGATATTATTTTAAAAAGTAAGATTCAACTTTGAAATAATTTCTGATAGTTCAAATTAATATTGATTGTCTTTCTTGTTGGAACCTTTCCTTTTTCTCTTACTGAGAGTTCACTCCGGTTTTGTCCGAATTGATGTTTTCTTTTTCTTTTCTCATCAAGATTATCTTTTCCTGCTTAGTTTTTTTTCTCTACGCGATATTATATTATTATTATTTTCGTCATTTCTGTTTTACCACTACCTTCTTTTCTTGTATCACTTTCCTTTGCTTTTACAGCTACCTTCGATCTTGTCCTTAAAAAAAGTTGAATTTTAAAAAATTATCAGTAATCTTTGAACAAGTTAAAATTTACATTGTTTGGGAGTAACAATTTAAAAAAACATGTTTTGAATTCAAGCAACATTAGATATTTAAAAATGTAACTTTTTATATTTTTACAAATTTCATTTTCTTAAAGATTTAAATATTTTATAAAGTCTTTACCAATACAGAAGTAAACAAAAACATATAAGAAAATGTCAGTAGCAAATAATAGAAATTATAAAAATGTAGTTAGAAAGATTTTTTATGTATGATCGATTCAATAAATATTTAAGTGATTTATTTTACCTGCATTTTCTTCCATTGATCCCATTTGAGTGGTGCTGACTACTCGTTTTTAAGTTTCTACATTTACCCCTTTAAACTTTCTTCTTCTGTTGCTCATTTTTATCTTTCATAATAAGTAAAACAATATTATAATGCTAAATTGAAATTAATTGCAATAAAAATGTCTATAAAAATTTATTCTATTAATAATTTTATTATATAAAAGCTTTGTGACATATTTGTTAATGTTTTTAAAAACGAATTACCAATTTATGTTCAGAACTGTTTTTAAAGTAACCATCTATTGAAACCATTATTATTCACCATCATCAACAATAAGACAATTTTTTTTTAAATTTGTATAATAGTTATTAAATTGGATAAATATGTAGGTAAATGTTATTATTTCTTATAAATATTGTTAACTATTTTTGATAAAATTTCAGGATACAGATATTTGCCATCGACAAAAGTTCTCCTGTGTAAAAAATGACCCAGAGTGTCATAGTAAAATAATAATTAATAAGTAAAACAATTGTTATTAACAAAAAAGACCACCTTTCCTATTTAATTTTGTAAAATGTTAACAAAATTTAACCATAAAATTATAATAATTACACAAATATCACTCACATTCATCGTAAAGTTTCCCACATAATACAATAATGAGCTCCTCGTTCTATTAATATTGTTGAGTAATGTTAAGTGCAATATTTTTTTACATTATTTATAACAGAATTTTGACCTAGTAGTAACGATAAACTTCGAATTCTGAACCATTGTTGTCATGTTTGCCTAAAAAATGATAAAATATGTATGAAACAGATGTATAAATTGAAAGTAATTTTCAATGTGAGATGTAGACAATAAAATATTTTATCTTGAAAATTGAATAAAAGTTTGTAATATTATTTTACCTTTACACGTATTAACTTGAATCAAAAATATTAGCGATATGTTTCTATTCATTCTCAATTGGTTTTAGAAAGCCAAAATTGTGGCGCATGCATTGTACGACTATACATATGGTGAATAACTCGAGTCAAAAATAGTATCAATATGTTTCAATTCGAATAAAACAAGTCAGAAGTAGTATAGCGATATGTTTCTATTCATTCTCAATTACGTTTACTGGTTTAACAGCAAATGTTGATAAATTATTTTGTTCTTGTGTAGTTATGAAGAAACAAAGATTTTGTAAAAATGCTACATCTACAACATCCATTTGTTCTGGGATTTGGAATATTTTATAAACAAAATTCAACCCTATTTGTGGTACAACTGTTGACGGAAACGCAAGTTCAGAGTCATATTTTCTAATTACGGCATAGTAGTTTGCAAGACAATTGCAGTGATTTCGGCATTCACAAAAAGAAACTTTAATAAATAATCTTATAATTCCAAATCTTCTTTCATTGTTTACAGTGTACTCTGCACATGTAGAATTAGTGACCTTAGCTCTAGTATATATCTCCGACATATA